TGTCATGCTGAGTTGACATCGGGTGGTCACGATTGTGACCAGCGCGTGATACGCGCGTGTCGCAGGTGACGCGACGGCCAACGTCACGGGAGTGACGGGTGCGCGTGGTGCGCCCCTAGCCATGTTGACTTGGCTAGGATATGGGGCTAAAACCCTATGGAGGATTCCATATGGGTATGATTGTGATTGATATGGTTGTGGTGAATGTTATGCATGTTATATATATATTGTTTTTTTTTGTTTGTTGACTGTGAATTATCGTTTTAACACTGTTCTCGATGAGAATGGGTTTACCGGGTTCAACCCGGGCTACTCACTAAGCAGTTGTGCTTAGCCCTCGTGGTTTTATATTTTTCAGATCACGAGGATTACGCCTAGTGCATTGGATGACGACGACCTGAGAGAGGCAGCATCATGTACGGGTTTTGTATTTTAGACTACGGGAATTGTATTCCCATATTTTGCACGATGTGCGTTTACTATTCGGACATGTGTTGTTTTGCGATATTGATCGTGTGTATTTCCGCTGCGTATTATGGTTAAAAAGTTTTAAAATTCCCGTATTTTTATTTGGTATTATTTTAATTGATTTTAGTCCATGTGGCGCATCCTGTTCACGGGAAGCGGGATACGGGTGTCACAATTTTTGGTATCAGAGCAACGTTCGTTCCATGGGAAAGAACGACTCATTACCTTAAGGTTTTACAATGAAAAATGTTTTCGAAAACCATGTCCATAGAAAAATTGTTTTATGAAAACCGTACAAGTGGTGTGAGCTGCATTCGTCGAAACCTTAGTGAAATTAACATGGCGCATTGGGAATGCCGCCATGATATGCTAAGCTAGAAAATAACAATTTCCAAAATTAAATCGAATACTTAACCCATTGGATCATAATCAAATGGTTAAATTTGGAATTCTTAAGAGGTCATAGGATAATACCCGAAGGAACATGTACCAACCCTACCAAGTGAGGAGTCTAGGACAAAGGGGGCGTCACCTAACATCTAAGTGGCATTGGCAGATGACCCCTCCATACTAACCTAAAAGATCTAAGGTGATAAGGAACGGCAACAATGAAGTTCTGATAAACCCACCACTAGTAAGAAAACTGAAAGAACATCATGAATCGATATACACTATCGAAGATTGATGGATTACTAGATCAACCACCAAGAACTCGACGTTTCTACAAGGTCGACTCATGGACAAGACATCACCTGCCAAGGCGAAAGATGCACAAAGGACAAAGTGCCCACGACTTGAGATGATTATTCTGGGTTTAAGTAAGGTCGTGAAGACTCACGAACGCAACAGTAGTATTCATGAAAGGTGAATCGTACTCTAACGGATTATCTGGATAAGTTCATCGCAAAGGAAATAATGCCCTCATCAGATTGACTCATTAAGTGAAACTTTTATAGAGAGTACAACGATATGGATGTGCTCTAGAAGCATGGTGTGGACTCATGGAATCTAAGCGGGCCTCTCTAAAGACCGAAGCGATAATCGATTAGAGGTCACCAATCTCTATGATGAAAGCCCAAGCCTATTGAACTTGGGAAACGCAATGGTCACTGGTCTGCAGAAGGATTCGCTTTGAACGACGAACCATATTTTAACGGTTTCCTTTAAGATGAGTTCATCACCATAATGATATTCTCATCAGATCAAGGTACCAGGATGAACACCTACGGGGAACACCGTGGAGGAGGATAGAAGATCGCCTGTGCACAAGACTCACGTTTTTTATTTAGGGATTCCAAGTGGATCTCTTTAAAGACCGAAGCTGTCATCGGGTAATGGCCACCAAACTCCACGATGGAACACTAAAATCCTATGACTCTCCAGCAATTATCTTTGAGTTGTAGGAAGGACTAATCGCAACAGACGACCTAAGACTAAGTCAAATGGAAAAAGTACAGTAAGCTTGAATGGATCACCAAGGCGAAAATAGTTTCGACCGACTGTAACAAGGTTCAAGGTTAACGCTAGTCCTGACTGTACCATGGTGAGGATAATGTAAGGAACTATTATCGACACATCCGGACAAGACCAAGTTGCGTATTAAAACAAGATGACATGTCATTGCTTATGCATCGAGGTAATTGAAAAGCATAAGGAGAACTGTTCGAAATACGAAATGGAATTCGTAACATTTCATAAAGCGTTGGAAGATCTGGAGGTCATACCTTTTTGGAGAAAGGGGTGACATTGATAATGACAGCTCGGCCTTTGCAATTCCCCAGAGGACTTGAGTTTCAGAAGGCGGGGATGGCGAGAGATTGTCGCAAACTATGATCTAAGTATTAATTGTCATCAGGGAAAAGACAATAGAGTGTTGGACACACTAAGTTAGAAAATGGATTCTAATGGTCAATCGAACGTGACATCGTCACATTGTAATATCTCAGATTTAGGGAACTAAATTGGGACATTGGTCCCTGAATCAGGAAATACTCGTGATTGCTTATGCAGTAGTTAGAAAACATTGAGGAGTATGGCCTTGAAGGCTATAACATTGACGATAATGGAACACTGAGGCTGGAAAAACCCGTTGTGTGTGCTAGATGACCCCGAGTTGAAACAAGGACATCTTAACCAAGGATCATGAAGCGAGGCTAGTGATACCTCTGAGAGCGAGTAAGATGTATCAGGGACTACATTGATGTTGTACATGGCTAGATTATTAAGAGAGATGACGCTTATTTTGTGGCAAGATGCCTCACTGTCAACAGGTGAAGGTAGAACGACAAGATGTCGGGAGGCAAATTGCAGCCGTCCAAGGTACCACAATGGAGGTGAGATGTGATCCCCATGGATTTTGTGGATAGATTATCACTCACGCCGAGCAAGAAGAACGCCATTTGGGTAGTCGTGGATCGACTGACCAAATCCGCTCATTTCATTCCCATTCGTCAAGAGTATCCGATAGAGCGGTTGGTGCAGGTTTATATCGATGAGATCGTGCGTTTACATGGAGTCCCGAACGAGATCATATCGGATAGGGACGCCCGATTCACATCACGCTTATGGGAGGCGATACAGGAGGCACTGGGGACAAAGCTCAAGATGAGCACGACGTATCACCCTCAGACAGACGGTCAGTCGGAGCGGACTATACAGACCCTGGAGGACATGCTCAGAGCTTGTGTTCTGGAGTGGGGAGCTCCGTGGGACCAGTACATGACGTTGTGCGAGTTTGCGTACAACAACAGCCATCACTCGAGCATTGGAGTATCTCCATACGAGGCCTTGTACGGGAGACCGTGCAAGACACCGTTGAGCTGAACAAAGATTGGGGAGCGCCGAGAATTTGGGCCAGAGATCGTGGAAGAGACCACGGAGGTGATACGAAGGATTCGCGCCCATCTGAAGAGGGCGCAAGATCGACAGAAGTCGTACGCCGATCAGCGGAGGCGAGACTTCGCACTCGAGGTTGGAGATTACGCTTTTCTCCGAGTGCAGGCAATGCGGGGTCATGCGAGGTTCGGACAGAGTGGGAAACTGAAGCCGCGATACATCAGACCTTATCCCGTGATCGCGAGGGTGGGGGTCGTGGCATACCGTCTTGGATTGCCGTCGGAATTGGGCAACGTGCATGACGTGTTCCACGTCTCGATGTTGCGGCGGTACGTAGCTGACCCTTCCCATGTCCTACAGCCCCAGAAGTTGGAGTTCACGGAGGCTACGCGCTTTCGGGATGAGCCGCTGCAGATAGTGGACCGAAAGGTCAAGAAGCTGCGGACGAAGGAGGTGCCACTTGTGAAGGTCTTGTGGCGGAGCCAAGGGGTCTCAGACATGACTTAGAAACCCGAGACAGAGATGCGTAGTAGTTACCCTCATCTATTTACTTAAGAGTTGCACGAACTTCTGTATGACGTTCCGAGTGTATCAAACTGGGTATCCGGATAACGTGGTTATGTTGTATTGTAATACGATATGCGGGGGAGTTTTTGACGATATCACGCGGCTTGAAATTCGAGGACGAATTCTTTTTAAGGGGGGAGGATTTGTAATACCCCGAAACCCGATTTGAATATTTAATTATTTTTTTTTGAAAAAAATAATTAAATAGAGAGGTCGCGAAATCACCAAAAATAAGTAGTACAGTGCCGGGAGCAGACACGAGGATCGGCACATGCAGAAAGATCGAGAAAATGAAGAAAATTGGTAAAAACTGAGTTGGTCCGCCGGACCAAGTTTGGTCAGCTCCGGACCAGACTCCTTTTCTTCTTCCTCGGTCCGCCTGTCGCC